TGCGATTGTTCTCAACACCCTTCCCCCACCCCGCCCCGTGTGTCTGTTTGTCACTTGCAGCTGAAGATGGAAAGAGCCAGGCGAAGGGGAGGCGGCGGCGGCGGCGGCCGCGGCCGTGGAGGCAAGAATGTGGGGGGCTCTGGCCTAAGCAAGAGTAGACTCTACCCCCAGGCCCAGCACGCCCACTACCCCCACTACGCGGCACTAGCCGGCGCGAATCAGCCCGGGGGCGCGGCCGAAATCCAGGAGCTGGCCTCCAAAAGAGTGGACATCCAGAAAAAGAGGTTCTACCTCGACGTGAAGCAAAGCTCCCGGGGCCGATTCCTAAAGATCGCCGAAGTCTGGATCGGCAGAGGCCGGCAGGACAATATCAGGAAGAGTAAGCTGACCCTGTCCCTGTCGGTGGCCGCGGAGCTGAAGGACTGTCTCGGGGACTTCATCGAGCATTACGCCCACCTGGGCCTGAAGGGCCACCGGCCAGAGCACGGCCTCGGCAAAGAGCCGGGCGCCAGGCGGAGACAGAAGCACTTGGCACCCTCCCCACCCGTGTCCGTGGGGTCCGAGGAGCACCCCCACAGCGTCCTCAAAACGGACTACATAGAGAGGGACAATAGGAAGTATTATCTGGACCTGAAGGAAAACCAGCGGGGTCGCTTCCTGCGGATTAGGCAAACCATGATGCGGGGGACTGGCATGATAGGTTACTTTGGCCACAGTTTGGGCCAAGAACAGACGATCGTCCTCCCAGCACAAGGAATGATTGAGTTTCGTGATGCCTTGGTTCAGCTCATCGAAGACTATGGCGAAGGGGACATAGAAGAACGAAGAGGTGGAGACGATGACCCGCTTGAACTCCCCGAGGGGACTTCTTTCAGAGTGGACAATAAAAGGTTCTACTTTGATGTGGGCTCTAATAAATATGGAATTTTCCTGAAGGTAAGTGAGGTGAGGCCACCTTACCGTAATACTATTACTGTTCCGTTCAAAGCTTGGACAAGGTTTGGGGAGAATTTTATCAAGTATGAAGAAGAGATGAGGAAAATATGCAACAGCCATAAAGAAAAGAAAATGGATGGCAGAAGGGCCAGTGGTGAAGAACAAGAATGCCTCGACTAGAGTGAAATTGAACTCCATCAGGCAAAATTTAAAAATCATAAATTGGCTAAAAGTACTGATCCGTAATCATTGGAAGAAGTTTTTCCTCTTTTTTGGCCCTTTGTTATTAGTAATACCTCTATAGTTTATACTTCAAGGAGTCCGATTCTCATGTTATGTTATACATAGAACACTATAATTCTTATGGGAATTCCCACCTTCCCAGAGCTAAATAGTTTAGCTACTTCATCTGCTCCAGACTATTGAAGTATGCAAATCAGCACAGAATGTGACATTCTGACCTTCTAAATAGCATAACTAAGATTTACATCGCACTATGACATAATCCTGAAAAAAGATACATATATTTAATCTGGAAGTGTGAATTACTATTTAACAAGTTCCCAAAAAAAGTATCCCATTCCTTTCTTCATTAAAAGCTGCTAAGCTTCCTATAGGACAGTTACCACAGAACAGAAATTGACCTCAAGTATAATATAAATATATTTATTTATAAAAGTACAAGTTGAAATATATTAATTGTCCATTGGATAACTGAATATTAAACAGTACCATTAAAGAATAAAATCTTAGAGTTACTATAGTATTCCATAATTTAAAATTGTGTGGTAACTCTACAGTTTATAGTTGCCATATCAAAGCTATGGGAGAGTTTTAAATGGTTATTCTAAGTTAGTTGCAATCCCATCTTCACTCCTGTTTATTGATTGTATCATAGATTTTTATTGACTTTCCAAAGTTTCAGGAATTACTTTTACGTCATTATTGAGGGGAAAGCGTCATCCCATGGCTTTGCCATGGAAATTTTGTTGTTTTAGCTTTTCATGCTAATTTGAAGGTTGTGAGAGGTTTTTTTCCCAAAATATATCATGGACTCAAGGTGTTATATTTTATGCTTCTTCTTTAACACTATTTCAGAGGGGTTGGTGCACCAGTTAACTGATACAAAAATACATCTGTAACAATATATTTTGGTAGCACTTTTGCAATTGCTACCCTTAAAACTGAGTCAACACTTCCAGTATAAACCTGATTTTTACAGGTGTTTTAATTCCAAGGGCGGGGGAGGAAACGATTTTTCTAAAAAACATTTAGAATGTAAATTTTCAGCCTGGGAAAAATATTATTTGAAGATTGGTTATAAATATATTTGAAAGGAAAATTCAGGCATTTTCCAAGGTGCTCTTTATAATACTTAAAAAGGTTTACTTTACACAAGACTCACCCATTTATATGTATTAAAAATTACTTTCCAGTAAGTGCCACAGCAGTTTTTCAACACCTACGCAATTTTTTAAACAAGTGGTTATAGTGTATATGTGTACCAACCCACCCTGTATTAACTGACTGATTTTTATCTGTTGAGCTGCATTTTATTCTGAATGAAATGATTGTCTTTTATCTCGGCTGTATTCCCCTCCCACACAGGAAGTCCATAATATCGTGTTTAAGGGCCAGACACTGATTTCAACCCCCAAATATAGCTCTCATTGATGAGAGCTGGCTGCATGGATTGAGATCAGAATATAGCTCTTCTTTTATATGCTATAAGTAACTTGAGGTTATTTTAACAAATTTTTTTCCTTCAGAGGTTTGTCCCCAAATACATTTAAGGAAGATCATTAAGGAAGCTTTATGGTATGAATTGAGAACATTAATTTCACTGGTTTATGTGACTTAAAAACAAACATTCAGTAACCCAGACATATATGCTGGTGTTGGTTTGCAGACTGTATTTCACATTTCCTCAAGTAGTTTGAAGGAATGTCATTAGTGCATTATAATGGTGGACCATCTGGATCACTACGGAACAACTGAAGGTTAGAGGATAATGTTAGTACTAGAGTTAATAGCACATGGTGGGTATTTAGACTCTAAAAGTATCAAGGATCTTTAAACAGTCCTAACTAAAGTAACTATTGTAGGTTTGATAAAAGTCGTTTTGGGTATATGAAGGAGTGGTATGCACTTGAATTATTGTACTACTGATTGTTATTGCTGCCCATCATAGTGCCTATTAATAATAATCAACCTGTCAGATTTTGGCAAGCTGGAGCTGTGAATATTCCAGTATTTGAGTGTTCCTATCACTATTGTTGTGACTGTATACTCTCTCTTAAAACCTTCCCTTCTAAAATATTTATATCTGTTAAGTCTAAAGGATTTCTTTTTTGGTTTTTAGTCTGATAAAATTTGAGTGTGTCTATATATATATATATATATATGATTGTGTGTATGTATATATGTGTTATATATATGTATATATACATACACACAATACTATGTCAGATTTAAAGATAAATATCTTTAATTTATTGTATATAAATATTATTAGTTTAATTTTGCACTAATACTTAAGTAAAGAGTTCATTAAGCAGCCAAATTTTCTAATTGTATGTATACTTAAAAGTTTTTACCATCTCAAAGCTACAGATTGGATAGATGTTTATATACCATCTATTACTGGCAACTGAATATGCTTTAGAATCATTAGCCTTCTGCCAGTCCTTTTGTTTCATTTTTTCATAGTTAATGTATTCATTAAAAAATGAAATTATGCTATTTTTTTGATACTTAAAATTCCCAATCAATCATTAGCCATAGTCAAATAAGATCCAGTTTAAAACTCTGGTATTAGGACACGTATTGCCATGTATCTTGTAAAATAAGCTACTATTCTTATCTGTGCAATATAAATTTTATTTATTGTCATTTGTGACATAAATGGACTTGCAAGTGTACATGGTAGTCTTCAAAATAACAGGATCCCTGCCTTGAAGACATTAAACTCTTAAGGCAAGAGGATATTAGAAGTCAAAACACGAGCATTAAAGTTAGTAACCAAAATTCCTAGTTCACTGTACAATTGTAAAACACTGGTGATGTTTGCACATAATAACCCAAGCATAATGTGGTACAGACTCAAACTGTAATAATATAAGCTAATAGTATGAAATTTGGAAACGGGTTCCTCATAATAGTTGGCAGTGTGCTCCTAGCAATTGAAAGCAGCACTAATCTGTTGCTTATATGCAAAAGATGCAATGTATTATAAAAGTATTAATGTTCTGCCACATTT